GTGAATAGCCGATTAAAAATTTCTACAACAACACTTAACAAACTGGTTAGACAATTATGAGGCAAAGCAAGTGTTGCGCTAGCCTACTAAAATTACAAGCCACCTACCATAATTCTAGTTTATATAGTTTCTAACCACACAATAGCTATGTCACTGCATTAAGTTAGTGTGCTCTCAAAGGCTAACTAAAGAGCCACACCAACCAAACTAACAAGCTCTCACAACTAGCTACACTAAAGAGCTTGACAACTAGTTTGTGGTAATGTAGAGAGAGTGAGCAAGATGGTTATACTGCCGAGTCAAGGAGTGAACCAATCAATCACAAGAATAAATACCAATGAAGACCAATCACCTCGGAATCAAATGATGACACAATAATTTTTTACCGAGGTTCACTTGCTTGCCGGCAAGCTAGTCCTTTTTGTGGTGATTCACTCACTTAGAGGTTCACGCGCTAATTGGCATCACACGCCAAACCCTCAATAGGGTGCTGCACAACCAACATAAGATGAGGATCACACAAGCCACGAGCAATTTACTAGAGTACCTTTTGGCTCTCCGCCGGAGAAAGGTCAAGATCCCCTCACAAGCACCACGATCGGAGCCGGAGATAATCACCAACCTCCGCTCGACGATCCTCGCTGCTTCAAGCCGTCTAGGTGGCGGCAACCACCAAGAGTAACAAACGAATCCCATAACAAAACATGAACACCAAGTGCCTCTAGATGCAAACACTCAAGCAATGCCCTTGGACTCACTCCCAATCTCACAAAGATGTTGAATCTATGATGGAGATGAGTGAGATGGCTTTGGCTAAGCTCACAAGGTTGCTATGTCAATACAAATGGTCAAGAGAGTGAGTTTGAGCCAGCCATGGGGCTTAAATAGAAGCCCCCACGAAATAGAGCTGTTGTACCCTTTCACTGGGCACTGCTCGGGGTGATAGGATGCGCCGATCAGATCGACCAGACGCAGGACCCCAGCGTCCGGTCGCCCGATGCTTGCCACGTGTCATCGGCTTCAAATGCTGATCGCCCGATCTCAACGGTCATCGGTACATTTAAGTAGTGACCAGACGCGCTACTCAAAGTTACCGGACATAGGACCCCAGCGTCGGGTAGTTTCCAGTAAGGTTGCACTCGCGACCGGACACGTTCGGTCACGCCTGACCGGACTCACCCAACTTCTGGTCACTCACTGTCTCCTCTGTGCGTTTCCACATCAACAGGACCGGACGCACCCCGTTAGTGTCCGGTCACGAAGTGACCCAGCGTTCGGTCGAAGACCGACCCCAGCGTCTTCACTGCATCCACTGACTGGACGCACCGGTCCAGTTGAGGCCATCGTCCGGTGCACTATGTGAAATCCTGTCTTTTCTTTATAGGGCGCCGGTGGCACTGTCGGACTATCCGCACTCTATGAGCGGACACTCCGCCAGTGAAGTTTCTTACCCTTGCTCAAATATGCCAATCACCAAGTATATCATCTTGTGCACATGTGTTAGCATATTTTCACAAACATTTTCAAGGGTGTTAGCACTCCACTAGATCCTAAATGCATATGCAATGAGTTAGAGCATCTAGTGGCACTTTGATAACCGTATTTCGATACGAGTTTCACCCCTCTTAATATTACGGCTATCAAACCTAAATGTGATCACACTCGCTAAGTGTCTTGATCATTGAAACAAAATGGCTCCTACCACTTATACCTTTGTCTTGAGCCTTTTATTTTTTTCTCTTTCTTCTTTTCAAGTCCAAGCACTTGATCATCACCATAGAAGTATCACCATCATCATGTCATGATCTTCATTTGCTTAATCACTTGAAATGTGCTACCTATCTCATGATCACTTGATAAACTAGGTTAGCACTTAGAGTTTCATCAATTCACCAAAATCAAATTAGAGCTTTCAGTAGGCTGCAACTCACTGTGTTCAGCGATGCAGACATGGCGGGGACTTCGATGGACGGCGGAGCACCTCTGGCGTGCTCGTCTTCCTCGGGTCGGCTCCAATCTCATGGTTGTCGCTGAAATAGAAGGTGGTGGCACTGTCTACGTGCGAGGCAGAGTACGTGGCGGCGGCCACTGCGGCGTGTCAAGCTGTGTGGTTGCGCCGGCTGTTGGGCGAGCTGACCGGTGTAGAAGCTCACCCACCAGCACTAATGGTGGACAACCAGCCTGCCATCGCTCTCGCAAAGAATCTGGTTTTCCACTACCGGAGCAAGCATATCGACGTGAAGTTCCACTTCCTCGGGGACTGTATCGATGGAGGGCAGATCGTCATCGAGTTCGTCGAAACCGATCGGCAACTCATGGAAGTTGTCACCAAGCCGCTCGGCCGTCTTCGGTCCACGGGACTGAAGAAGATGATCGACATGAAGGGAGTTCAAGGGTTAACAGCAGGATTAGGGAAAGAATTGTTAAGTAATATGCTGCTCCCCTTATGTGAACGCACGGCAGGGACAGACGACGCCGAAAAGGGCTCCCTGCTATTGCAATGTAGCAGCTGCAGGGGCAAGCGCTGAATGGCTCACCTGCTGCACTGTAGCCACAGCAGGGGCATACGCCAAAGTCAGTCCTGCTGTCACATCTAGTCACTGTAGCAGCATGACAGCCTGACATGTCTGTGTACTCGGATTAGATGGATAGAGTTATATATATAGTTTGTCACTGCAACTTAGTAAAGAGAGCGAGTTCAGTTTTGACATCTCCTTTGCAGAGCTCCGGCCAACACTGGTGCTTGTGCTGTGTGTACGCTCTGTTCTTCCTTCGTTCTTCTACCTCTATACATAGTGTGTGGTCGGCAACGACAGTGCGTGGTCGGCAACGGTGGTGAGTGATCGACTCACCTGTACCGGAGATCCAGGGGCTAACATGGTCATCTTCATCAAACCAACAAGGCAAGATCTGATACTGCTGTTGTCTATCATGGAAGCGTTTGAGCAGATATCGGTGCTGACTAACAAAGAGAAAAGCAAGGCCACACCGATCAAACTGCTTTGAGGAAGAAACCTAGCTTGCTGTTGACACTTTTGGCTGTGCTGTGGAGACCTTCCCCTGTCGCTATCTTGGCATTCCTCTGTCCATTAGAAGGCTCCACCGCTCTGACGAACAGCCTATCATCGATGCGGTCTCGAACCGAATTCCAGCATGGAAGGAGAACCTCCTAAACTTAGCCGGCCGTGCTACTTTGGTCTCGGCTACCCTCTCAGCGATCCCTGTCTACATCTCCATTGCAGTCTGCCTATCGCCCTAGGCGATTGACTGTATCGATCAGAGTCGCAGGGCATTCCTTTGGGCCGATGCTCAAACGGTCGCTGGTGGAAAATGCAGAGTGGCGTGGCGTATGGTCTCCATCCCTAAGGTTCTAGGAGGGCTTGGTATTGTGGAGCTACGTCGTCTCGGGATCACTCTTCGTCTGAGATGGGAATGGCTAAGGCGAACATACCCAAATAGATCCTAGAATGCGTTGCCATCACACCCCGAGCGGGCTGTTTAGGCTTTCTTCCAGGTTGCAGTTCACGTCGAGGTGGGCAACGGCTCCAACACGCTTTTCTTGACAGATTGGTGGATCAATGGCCACTCCATTGGACATATTGCTCCTGCCCTCCTGGCAGCGGTGCCGGCCTGGCTGAGGCACCGAACGGTCAGCTCGGTGCTGCACGACCGAGCTTGGGCTAGAGACATAAGAGGGGTGCCGACAGTCCAGGTGATCTTGGGCTACCTGCACGTCTGCGATCTGTTGCAAGGGGTCCAGTTGCAGCTGGATGTACAAGATCGATTCGTCTGGCGTTTCAGCGCAGATGGAGTTTACTCGGCGTCATCGGCCTACAAGGCGATGTTTATTGGATCGGTCAAGCTCCGGGGAGCAAAGCAGCTGTGGAAGGCCTCTGCCCCGCCAAAGATTAAATTCTTCTTCTGGCCAGCAATTCATCACATGTGTTGGACGGCAAGTCGCAGGAAGAAGAGGGGGTTCAAGGATGGCAATGGGTAAATCCCCATCGGGTATGGCCACCCCAGACCCGTACCCGCCATAAAAATTTGAGACCGCCAGAATCCCCATACCCACTATGGGTGGGGAATTTTTCCCTGACCCATACCTGGCTGGGTAAATCATACCCGGCGGGTCACCCGTACCCACAAATAGTTTATTTACGCACATAAAAATCAACAATTCAACAGCAACCACTAGTAACAGAGCACATAAAATTAGACAAATAATAGCATATAATAATCTCTACTGCAACTTCAGCTTGGACCTTCGGATCTTGCAACTTTAGAGTGTTCACGACGTCGACGAACACGGGATCCGACGGCTTTAGGCGGTCACCGTCCTCCAGGACCTCTATGATGTCCCTTGACGCTGGAGTGAAGGAGCAGGTTAGTGCAGGGAAGAAGGAGGCAACGAGCGTGGAACGCCTCTGCGCGGCTGCGCCTGCAAAGCATATGAACTATGAAGGGGAAGGGGAACTGGGGAATCACCATCCGTTCACTCCGTTGACGCTTCCTTGCTCCGTTGCCGGCATGGCGTCGGGTCGGATGTGGCGACTTCCTGGCCCTTGGATTTGGAGCGATGCGATGCGAGACGAGGGGCCGAGGGGGCGCTGTTGTTTTTTGCGAGCGGTGTTTTTTTTTTCCGGCGGCCGGCGGGGGATCAGGCGGGTGGGATAGGGTTGGGAGGGGTGGGGAATGGGGGATAAGATTATATACCTAGGGTTTTACCTTATGGGCTGGTGGGCTTTTTTACTTTTGGGCCGGGTATTTTTCACCCATGGGTTAATGGGTATGGGGACTGCTAGAACATACCCATACCCGTGTACCCGATGGGTGAAGGGTTTGGTCCATTTATGTACCCGTGGGTAGTGTGTTTAGTCCATATTCAGACCCTAATGGAGTAAATACCCATCGGGTATCGGGTCGCGGGTCCCCATTGCCATCTTTAAGGGGGGTTGCAGGATTGTGACCTTTGTGCACTTTGCCACCAAGCCCCGAAAACAATGGATCATCTGCTGGCGGGTTGCGTCTACACGCGAGAGGTTTGGGCCAGATTGCGTGCTGCCATTTCTCTTGTGCAGCCCGTTCACGATCAGTCGACGGCCATTGATCAGTGGCTCGTTGAAAGGAAGCTGTTACCAAAAGACCACCGCATAGGCTTTGATGCGCTGTTTTTGCTGGTCTCCTGGCTCATTTGGAAGGAGCGCAACAGCCGGGTGTTTGAGAAGTTTGCTACCATGCCAGCATGGCTCCTTCCAAAGATCCTTGATGAATGCAATGCTTGGGTAGCGGCGGGGTTCAGGAGAATTGCCCCCTTGGTTGCTTCTTGGTCGCAAATTGGTTTAGTGTATTAGCGCCCTTTGCTTCTTACCGCTTTTTCATTTTTCTTCAGTTTGACCTTCCATGTTGCAAGCCGTGGCCTGCGTTACAGAACCGTCTTGCTACCCTCTTAATGAAAAACGGGCTCAGTTGAGCGCGGTCGTGAAAAAAAGAGAGTCTAAAATGTCAAGTAATATAGGACAAAAGGAGTAGCTATTATAATTAAACCAGTGGTCCAATTGAGAAAAACCAAACCAGGACCTCGGTAGTCCGGTTTGTGTCGAACATCAAATAGGCCATTGAATTTTCAATTTTTAGATGGAAATCAATAAAAACCGTACTTATAATCGTTGTAAGAGCCCACAGCCAGGTGGGGACATGGAGACATGGGAGAAGAAGCCGGTGAACAAAATATGGGGAGGGGGGTAAGTAGGGACGTGGGAGAAGGGCAGGGGTTTGAACCTTCCACCGGCTGGGTTTTGAATGTGAGATTTTGACCACTAACGTTCTCATTTGGTCCCATGATCTAAAGTTTAGACAACTTTACCTCTTGAGGCTCCAAACACAAGGTCTAAAGTGCTATCTAAAGTTTAGCTAATCTTACAAAAACTTTAGACCATAAAAGTGAGCTAAAGTGGTCTAGAATTTTAATCCTTAACTTTGGTCAAGTAAACTTTAGAGCAAAGAATCCAAATAGGCCTTAAGCTACCCATGCATTGTTTATTTTAATGTAGATCTTAGTATATTTTGAGTTAGTGGTTGAATTAGGTTGCACTAATAACCAAACCATGAATTGAGATCTTAATCGGTTCGATGTCTGATTTAGTTCTAATAACTATATTTGAGAGATCAAAATGACTTTTTTCCGAAGGGTTATAACACTGTTGACCCCAGTCCAGTGAATTAAAAATTACCAGCAGTCACGGGAAACCATCACAACCAGAAACATGAGCATGCTCTTTGTGGGGCGAGTTTGATTTCCAAGATTTCTGATTGCCATAAAATAAGATAAATAAGTTCACAAACTTTGAACACTCACATTTGTCACTGAAAAACATCTACATGTATCATATCCCCTTCCCAAAATCCAACTATGTCCGTACCTAATTTACACCCACTTTCACCACCCCCCAACACCCACACCCACACAACAATTGTAGACTGTAGTAGCATCACGTCGGCAGTTGCTATGCATCTTCGGACACTGACCTGTTTAGCTTGGATACCGAAACGCACGGCTCTTTGTCATCACCACTTCCGCTACTAACTTGTTGGTGATCCCCGTTACTGGCTTCAGGGTGAGGGTGAGGGTGCTCAAGCATAGGGATGTTGCCTGCGCCATCCTGCAGTTGACGTGATTCTTCGTCCCCAGGGGTATTGTCCATGCGATCTGCATCTCCGTGTCTCAGTTCGGTCCATCTGGCATGAGCCAGCCTCATAATGCTTATGAGCAGCATGAAAGAAGAGATGAATCCACTGGTGAGAAACAGGCCAGAGAAGCTCTTCAAAGTGAGAGGCGTATGAGGCTTGTTGGAAACTGTTGGCGGTGTCGCAGCCGTGCCAAACCATTTTTCTTCAAACTGTGAACCCTCATTCCCTTCAGTAATATTCAAGATGGCTGTTGAAATATCATGCAGCAAGGGAAAACCTAGAGGAAATACCTGGAAAAGAACATGATGCTAATCAGGCCATATTATTTATTCCCATGCATGATGCAGAATATGAAAAGGTTACAGAAACAAGCGATATCATTCTATTGACAAAAGAGAGGTAATCTACCAAAGCATAAGGTTGAGAAACTTACAAAACCAAGTCCTGGGGTCTTGTATATGTGACCAACAATCTGGAACTCATTCTGGTATCGAGTGTCAGAGGAGAGGAAAGATGTTAAATAGGGGACCTCATCCACGATAGCTGACACGCCTCCATTCATGGACCCCTTCCTCAAGGCATCTGCGTACTCATCTTCCCTCGAATAAGGAATCAACCTATGTTTGCTGAAACCTCGATCTCTCAACATGGAGTACACAAATGAATTATGCTGGTACCCAACATAATCACCATTGTAGAGGAGCTGGTCCAGGCTGGTCACCGTAGGACGGAGCCTCTCTGAGGTTAAAATGGATGAAAAACTTGCCGTGTAGCTCTGCACTAGTACCAGCACTAAGAAGCACCATATCACCACAACAATTTTTGACAACGGGCTCCTAATAATATGGCCTGTGCATAGAGTGACCATGATAACAGGTTATTCAAGGACTACTGTAAGAGAAGTTTACTAAACTACTTATAAAGAGGTTAAGACCAACCCACTGACCATGAGAAAATGTCAAAGTGGAGAAAGCAAAATACAAAGCGTTGCTGAACTGTCTCAGACTTGATCCTTGGTACTCTGGATTTCTGGGTCGCTCAATCACCCACACAACAAACCCAGTGAAGAAGAAGAAGCCCACAGTTGCGAACCAAAGTTCCTTTGTAAGTGGTGCTAAGAAGGTCCACTGGATTGGTTCTAAGTCGCTCCCAGATAACACAAGCAATGACACACCAGACTGTGTGTATGGCATTGTAAAGTCCACTTGTCCTATTCGATTGGAGGTTATGGTCACATCACCTGCTGCTCCATCAAGGATCTGATTTATCCATCAGAAAATTAGAAGAGATAAACACAAAGTGCAATGAATATAAATCATAATGTATAACTGATAAGTAAAGCAATGTTCCTTTCAAAAAAAAAGTAAAGCAATGTAAAAGTATGTGATGCAAATACACAGGTTTCAGGCTCACCCCTAAAGACACGTTGCCTACTAGCTCATCGTAAGAACCATCAAAGACACAGAAGTCATAGCATGGGGGGTGTTGCAGCTTCTCCATAGCAGTCTCAAATACATCAATGATGTAGCCAGTGACTTGTTTTGTGGTACTAGGACGAGTAGCATTATCCTTGCAAAAGAAATAAGGATGAGAAACATTCACAAAAGCTTTGAAACCTTCTTTCTGTGGCACACCAATCCTGAGTAGCTTATCATTATAGCTTCTGCACAACTTCCCCGATTTTCCTCCCACTAATTTTCTGGCATTTCTTCTCTTGGACTCTAGGTTAAGTGAATGTTTAGTGTCAAGGTTAAGTGGAAAGCCAGTCTTCTCCCTCCCTTTAGAAGTCATTACTGTATCTTCTCTCCAGAACACAGACCTTCTGCTATTGTCAAATCTATATCCTTTTCTACTTAGTTTTTGTGGTTGCAAAGACAGTGGTGGTGTCCATAAACCTATTCCCAATGCACCTTTCCTGTTCACGTGCACAATCTCATAAGATAGTGGCTGCACCTCTCCATTGACCATCTTGAAGTCCCCAGTCAACCCATCAAATGTTGTGTTGAGAATTGAATCAAGAAGAGCTCTTCTGTTTGCAGACACATCATGTCTGCTCAAATCTATTTCTGCCACCCACATAGTCAACCTGGATACCCCAGCTATCTCAGCTGCTATACAAGTAGCCCATGCCGTGTCATATGCCTGGAACAGCAGAACACTTGGGGTGTGCACATGGTCAGTGTTCAGATTCTCCAAGTGGAACCTTGCCTTGAACCTTGCCAAGCTTGTACCCTGAACATAAGGCCGCAGTGTCAAAATCCCCTGCAAGTTATCAATGTCATCAGGGCTGAGGCCATCCACTACATTGCCTAGAGCACCAGTGGCAATCCAGACATAATCCTCAGTCACCATGCCAGCATTCTTGGCCCTAGAAAATAGATGGACAGCAAGAGCTGGGCGCATATTTACGACGAACAGCCTTGCTGACATGTCCTTGAGGCGATAGAGCATCTGGTCAAAGTGATCATCAGTCACACCAATTGGAACAACCACACTATCAATTGTGCGGACACTGCTGCTCTGCAGTGCCTCGGTGAGTGGCTGAAGAATGCCAATTCCATAAGGTGAATCTTCACACACGATGACAACTTCATGTCCTCCTAAGAAAGAGGCAATGATGTCGACAATGGGCGCAACCTGAGAGGAGTCCTTGGGTGATGTTTGCACAAAGTAAGGTACCGTGTGCAGATGCAAGGTTGGAGAAACAGAAAAAAAGGAGAGGACTGGAATGCGGTTGCGGCTGCCCAGTTGGGCAAGCAAATCTGCTTCGTCAGACATTTGAGGCGCCGCGATGATGGCTAGTACCTGGGCATTCTTGATCAGATCCTCAGCTGTGTAAACCATAACATCGCGGAATTAGTCTAGTAAATAAATACCTTTTGATGAGACACATGTGACAATTACATATTCACCAAAACAAAAACATAGACGAGGGTATGCTATGCATTCCCCGCCTCTTATATAGTTTGCCACTCTTATCTTCCTGTGAAATCGCTACATCCCAGGCATGCCTCGAGATGATTTTTTTCCCAGAACGGTAAATTTTGGAAAGACAAACTGTGTTAATTTTCTGGTTTGCCAAACAAGCTCGAATATGTTTATAATGTCATTGGTCATATAGGAACAAATCCTGCTGAGTGAAAAGAACTCAAGAAAAGTTCACAATGATCAAAACACAGAAAGAATAAAAATATATTCAAGAGCGGAAAGGACACGAACTGAAAAGGGCCGCACATTTTCAGAGGAAAAAACATCCATGAAATTCCTACCAGTTGACACATTACGTCGAACAGGTGAAGCCCACTGCATACCGTTGGCGTGCGGCCGTCATCCTCACATCCTGGAACGCTCAGTGGCCGCATCGACGCCCCACCAACACGCTGCCTGCTGTGTGACCACTGACCACGTAGAGGCGCTACCGCTAAGGGTTTGCCGAGGTCAAACGAGACAGGGTCCCAGCCGTGCGGCGGTGCGGGCGTTACCATGCTTCGCCCTCGCTTCTTCTCTCTTGGACTTGCTTGGCCCAGAGGCGCCTGCCGCCACTCAGCACCACCAAGCCACCAAATGCCTTCGTTGAGTTGCCAAATTGAACGGCCCAAAATTCAAATAAAAAAATCGAACGGCCCAAGCCCACCAAGCCCCCAACGTCGATAGAGTTTAAACT